TCTATCTTCCTAAGACCTAAAAAAAAAAAAAAATCAAGAGCATTTTTTAGAGTATCTACGGAATGATTCTTCAGATAACATTACTAATTAGGGCCATATCCAAATATTAACTACCTCTGGCATATTGAAGTTTACAGGGTACTTACAAGCACATGACCTTAATTTGAGGCTTACACATCCCTATGAAGCAGATGTAGATCAGAAATAATTTTTAGTTATTTGAGGAGGGAAGTGGAGCTGAGAGCTGTAAAGTCACCAATCCAAGGTCAACAGTATAAATTCCAGGATCTAATCTTAAACCCAGATCTTGAGACTTGATTGACATCCATATTTCCATAATAATTTGCCTCCTGGTTTCCCTCCAATTTGTATATATTGAGTTTCTCAACAAATGAAAAGAAAAACACATTAAATTAGTTATTCTTTTTTAAAATATATTTTTATTGATTTCAGAGAGGAAGGGAGAGGGAGAGAGAGATAGAAACATCAATGATGAGATAAAATTCATTGATTGGCAGCCTCCTGCTCTCCCCACACTGGGAACTGAGCCTGCAACCTGGGCATGTGCCCTTGACCTGAATCGAACCGGGAACCCTTCAGTCTGCAGGCCAATGCTCTATCCACTGAGTCAAACCGGCTAGGGCTAAATCAGTTATTCTGATTTGGGTTCACATATATGGGTTTAATGTCACATTTTTTTCATCTTAGAAAACTTTATTTTTCCTTAAATGAATTCAAAAGAATGAAAACAAAATTCTAAATTTTAAATATAAACTCAAAAGTTTATCTCCTAATGGAAACTAAAGGGAAGATAAATAAATGGTACTATATCAAAATAAGAAGCTTCTGCACAGCAAAAGAAATCATCAACAAAACAACAAGAAAACCCCACTGCATGGGAGAACATATTTGCCAATGATATCTCTGATAAAGGTTTAATCTCCAGCATTTACAGGGAACTCATACAACTAAACAAAAGGAAGATAAACAACCCAATCAAAAAATGGGCAAAGGACCTAA